AAAAGGGACATGGCCCCACCTCCTGCAGGCCCACTACCCACAGGAGGTGCCGTAGGGTTTGCGTGCATTGTGTGCTGCGCACGGCCAGGAGAGGAAGCCTTGGTGAACCAATCCCCAGCTACCAAGACTAGCAATTGGAACATGGAATGTCACCTCTCTGGTGGGGAAGGAGCCTGAACTGATGCGTGAAGTTGAGAAGTACTGGCTAGATATAGTTGGGCTCACCACAGCTTGGGCTCTGGAACCAGTCTCCTGGAGAGGGGCTGGACTCTGTCTCAGTGTGGAGTTGCCCCTGGCGGTGGGCTGGAGTGGGTATCCTAGTATCCCCTCGGCTTGCTGCCTGTACATGGGGGTTTCTCCCAGTGGACAAAAGGGTTTGTTCCCTGTGCCTTCGGGTCGGGGACTTGGTCCTGACTGTCGTCTGCGCTTTTGTGCCACTCGGCGCATAAGTGATGACGACAGGGCGCCACTCTTCTTGGAGCCCAGCCTTCTTGGGGTCCCTTGGTGGGGTGCTGGTAGGTGCTCCGCCTGGGGACTCTGTTATCCTACTGGGAGACTTCAATGCTCATGTATGCAATGGCAATGAGACCTGGAGTGGCGTGACTGAGAGGAATGGCCTCCTGGATCTGAACCCAAACAGTGTTTTGTTGTTGGACTTCTGCGCAAACCGTAATTTGGTATAACGAACACCATGTTTGAACATAAGTGTCCATAAGCGCACGTGGCACCAGGACATGCTAGGCCGCAGGTCAATGATAGATTTTGTAATCGTATTACCAGACCTGCGGAGTATGTAAAAGCGGGCAGATCCAAGTCATGCTGGAGAGATTATATCTCTTGGCTGGCCTGGGAACGCCTTGGTGTTCCCCCGGACAAGCTGGAAGAGGTGGCAGGGGACAGAGAGGTCTGGTCTTCTCTGCTTAGGCCGCTGCCCCCTGTGACCCGGCCACTGATAAGTAGAAGAAGATGAATGGATGGATGGATAGTATATTAGTATTAATGGTGTATTTTATAAGCATTTCAAACTCTAGTAGATGGAAAACTTTTAAGATTGGGTAGCGTGAGTGAGGTAGTAAAAAGAGTGCATTTACAGAGGTTAGTTTGTAGCACATGTTGAAAAAGAAGAAAGAAACTGTACAAAGTAGTATCTTTGAGGCTTCTGTATGATTACTTTGGTCAAAATAGTAAATGGACTGATATTGAAACAGGTTTTTTTTGTTTATTTTGTATTTTTTTACCTTTTGAAATGCTAAACCTTAGTAAATATATCACGGACAGTTTGGCGTTTATTAGTGCCTATGGACCCTTTGATTAGTGGATGTCATGCACCTTCTCCTTAGTCACTGTAGATCATGTATATAAAATCATGTAACCAGACTTGGTTCCGGTTCTCTTTGCGGTAAAGTACTGCTTCATGTTTCTGTTACAATGCACAGCGGTGTTTTGTGTAGTCTTTTTTTTTTTTTAAATAAATTTTTTATGTAAAAGCTTGTATTTTATATTACAACCTTCACATACTTTAAAAAGAGTTTGCATTGGATAATCACCTGCTAATTATATTCACAGCTCATAGCTGATGGACTATTCACCTGTCCCTCATCTACCTTTCTGCTCAGTGTGTAAGATGTTTACCCACTCCTCCTCCTATGAAGCGCCTTGAGGCGACTTTTGTTGTGATTTGGCGCTATATAAATAAAATTGAATTGAATTGAATCCTCGGCCTCCATTAATAATAGTGATACCTGGATGTCCTCTAATTTATTGCTTTTAAAGTCAAATAAAACTGGGGTTATTGCACTTGGCCCTTAGAAACGTGGTGTCTAACCAGATATGTACTTTAGATTGGCCTCCAGTCACATTGCAGAACCTTTGAGTCATTTTCTCAAATATGCAGGACTGCTTTGCTTCATTTTGTGCAATATCCTTAAAATTAGAAACATTCTGTCTCTGAGTGATGCTGAAAAACTGGTTAATCTATTCATTACTTCTAGGCTGGATTATTGTTATTGATTATTATCAGGTTGTCCTAAAAACTGCTTGAAAAGCCTACAGTTGATCCAAAATGCTGCAGCCAGTGTACTGCATGGGACTAAAAAGAGCATATTTCTCCTGTCTTGGCTTCTCTATATTGACTCCCTGTTAAATCCATGATCGAATTTAAAATCCTGCTCTTCACATTCAAGGTTTTGAAAAATCAGGCCCCAGCTTATCTTAAAGACGTCATATTTCTGTATGACACCAATAGAGCACTTCACTCTCAGACTGCTGGTTTACTTGTAGTTCCTGGGAAATTTAAAAGTGGAATGGAGTTTTCAGGCCCCTCTTCTGTGGAACCAGCTCTCACTTTGAATTTGGTAAACAGACACCCTTTCTACTTTTAAAGTAAGGCTAAAACTTTCCTTCTTGACAATGATTATAGACAGAGCATAGTGTTTCTTCTGATTGTCAATGTTTTCTCCGTTTTTTGTTTTTTTTGTTTTTTTTATTCCTTTTTTTCCCTGTAGGGTATTGTAGGGTCTTTACCTTATACTAGAAAGTGCCTTGAGGTAATTATTGTTGTGGTTTGGTGTTATGTAAATTGATTAGTGCTGTCAGCACTAATCTTGTTAAAATAACGTTAAAGCTATTACCGCATTAACGCTGCAAATCTCCGTTAGTGAGTTAACGTAGATGGATGCTGGGTGAATGGAATGGGCTGGGCTAGAGCCGGGGTGTTGCTCATGCTGCTTTTGCCCTCCCCTAATGGCAGGGTCACCGGGAACGAATGGGGTTGTGCCTCGCGGCCATGGTTGTGCCAAATGATGTCCTTCCTGGGCTCTTATTAGCTGTCTCTTGGCTCTTTGCAGTGCTTTGGACTGTTCTTCCTGGCTGTTTGTGCTTCCGGGGTGAGTCTTCGATGAGCTGTCTGGCCTCTGTTAGATCTTGGTGAGGGTGTTTTGGGTTTGATCTTGATCGTCACTGTGGGTCGCAAGGCCTGAGGTCTCTAGGTTTTTGTGGCTGTCTGTCACAACCATAGGTTTTAGTGTTCTGTCTTTGGTGATTTGGGTGGCCGTGATGGGAATGGAGACATTCTCACCATGTGAATCACCATACTGACTGCTGTTGTTTCCTCTCTGTCCTTGGATGTGTGTTTATTTATTTATTTTTATTTAGGTGACATTATCACTTCTAGACAACTTCATCAGGTGGTGACAAGATGACACCATACTAGCTGATCAACAGATCTCAGTAGCTCTCTGGAATGTGTATTAATTAAACAAATATATGTATTGTTGCATTTTCAGTATGCTCCTTGTGGCTTTGCAGAACTCCTTCAACCACGAGCATTCTTTGTGAGAATGAAGACAGTGATTAGATTTCAAATCATGATTTCCTCCTTTGATTCTGTGGTTCTTTACCTCTCCTTACTAAATTTGAGATTTTATTCAACTAGCAACGTCTCTCTGAAGTAGCTCTGCTTTCAGTACATTTTTGTAGAACTCCAGCCTGCTCTCCGAAAATATCAGAAATCTCAAAGAATAAGAGTGTAGGGCATAAAAAAGGCATAAAAGTGTAGATGAGTGTAGGATGAATAATAACAAAGACAAGGGTCAATACACTATGCTACAGGAGGAGATCAGCACACACATTTTCAGCAAGACAGCCAGGAGAGGGAAGGAAAGTGTTGTGGTGTGCCAGACAGCCCTCAGTCAAAACCCCAGCACATAGAGCCGTAGCCTGGCCTCTTAGCGCTCAAAGGGCCTTTTCATGACAGAGGCAGCAAGCTCTTGGAATGCAGCAACCAGCAGCCCTATTCAGCCGCGGATGGAAAAGCATCCCATTGCCCCAAGTCCCTCATTTTCCAAGGCATTTGATACATGTAATCAATCACAGCTGCTGCCTGGTTTGACCAGGCCTTAGGAAGTTTAACTCAGTTTTTGGTTTTCTTGGTTTTTACTAAAGTGCAGCAAAAAACATTAGTTTATTAGAGTCCTTAATACTACTCGGAAAACAATTATAAAGACCTTTGACAGCACTTATTAAACCTGACTGTATCCCCATTAAGTGGATCCTAGAAGTTTGCATGATGATGGTTTTGTCTTCTTAGGCTTTGTCTTTCATTCTTGTAGTGGATGATGTAAAATGTAAATTGAGGACTGAATGTGATTTAACAGAAATGGCATTTCTCATTTGACACAAATGTGCAGGAATAAAAAATAAAAATTGCAACATTGTACTAGCTTTGCTGTGAAGGTTATCAGTCATCCAGATCATGGTAGTCTAAGGAACCTGGAAATAAAGTGACTGGATTTTTTTTTTTTTTTAAATTATCGAAGATGTTTCACCTCTCATCCAGCCTGTAGTGGTAATGGCTCACACCTGTTTTCACACCTTGACTTATGTGATGAAGCACATGATTAATAGTGGGTCAACGAACCTCTTATAGCTGATTATTATTATTTATTTTACTTTTATAAATGGTTGAACAGACATAGCACATATTTGTTGGTTTGTCACTCTATCTTGGTATACCATGAAAAATATATTCACATTTATCAAGGCACGTCTTACCTTTAACAATGATATGCCTACCTCCTCAAGCATATTTTTGCATGGGCTACATGTTGTGGAGGGGTTTTTCTTTGCCAAAAAGACAGTTTTGCAGGCATCCACTTTAGTTTAGTTTGCAGAGGGCCTCCTTCATTTACATCAAATGAAAGTTCCGCATTTAAAATTCTGGGAGGCACTTTTACATTCTCACTACTTGGGACAAAGCAGAATTTTAAGCACCACCTTAAGATAAGATAAGATAAGATAAGATAAGATAAGATAAGATAAGATAAGATAAGATAAGATATACCTTTATTAGTCCCACAAGTGGGAAATTTCAAGGATAGAATGCAAAATTTTAGTCTGTATTTTTAAGTCTTTGCAACATCTTGGAACCTCCACCAGTTTGCATGGTCTTGTTTTTATTTTAGGTTTCACTTGAACTCATTCCCTCAAATTCTGTCCTCCAGATAATCCGGGCCTCTCAGTAGGCATAGGTGGTGTGGCTGAAGCTCAGAGTGGAGCTGCGCCAACAGTCGAAGGTGAGATTGAAATTCCTTTTGTTTTCTGATGCTGTTTGTGTCAGTTATGTACACACCTAAAGCTCAATTACTATTGGACTGTTTGTATAATCCATATCAAAAATGACTTGTAGAAGTATTTTGCTGTTTGCTGTTGCTATGCACTTCTTTCTGTTGTGATTTTCACAGTGATTTAGCCATTTTAAAAGAGAGCCACATTAAAGAGACAGAGAAAACTCTGACTTTAAGCTTGACATAGCTCACCAAGCCATAATCTCACTTTATAGTTTCACCCAATGACTTGGTTTCATCCTACTGACCTCTGTCATCACATCAAAATGTCACATTTGGACTTTTTGAGCTTGTCTATTGACTAAAATCAAATGCTGTGGTCACGAGCTACATCTGACAATGTAGATTATATCTGGAGAGCTACTCAGAAGTAGTGCCTAGACAGATAAACTGTTAATCAAGGAAGGACCCATTGGTCTGTATGCTAAAAACTAGTTGGGAATGTTGCAAGTAGTGTCAGTACTTTAAGGGAAAGATTCAACACTGATGCAGAAAGACTGAGTAGAGTGTTTCCATTCCTAATTAGAATATATACAGCATTGTCTTGTGACCCATAGGCCCCGAGCTCACCCAAACTCTGAGTAAAGCACATGGCAGATTTAAATAATTATTTCATAGTAATATGTCAGACTCCCATCAGCAGATCAAAACATTATAATTCACAATTTCTGTTGCTGTCTCAGTATCTTTGATTTAGGAATAGCTCCTCTGTGCAGTTATCAGCTGCATTCCTTGAGTAGTTGTTTCTGGGACAAACAAGCTATTGCTCTTAGTGGGCCAGGCTTTTGAAACTTGCAGGAAAGTCTGTTTTGTTAGAAAGCTGCTTTTCATTACTTCTGTCTCGCAGGGATAAGCCTAATCAATCAAGTACTTGAGCTTTGATATTTGATACCTTACTAGTCCCAAAGTAGTTTGGACTTCAGCCAAGAATGATGATGGCCCTGTGGATCACTGAGTGTTGGCCGGCAGGCATTCTGCCCCAACCTGTGCTGGACTACATTACATTCTGTAAGTGACTGATAAGAGAATTAAAAATGTTGCTTCACAATAAAGTTATGCGGCAACACTCTTGAACCGGAATCTTAGTTGTGGCCTTAACTTTTTCATTTTTCGTGTTGTGAATTGCAGCAGAGTTGTGTATTTTTGACAGATTATCATTTGTCAAAATAAAGAATAAATTAGCCTAAAAAGCCGGCGATGCCCTTACACTATGCAGCTGTTAGCTTCTGAGTGTTGGACCAAGACTGTCATAGTGCAGGGACCTCTGGTCACACCACAACTTCAAGCCAGGCAGTCACTGGAGTAGCAGCCAGGACTGCATGGAAATGATAAAGAACTGTGAGGTTGTGACTGACCCATACAAGGGAGTGTGGGGTTTTGTTTTTTGGGGGGCGTGGGAGGCAACTGTGCAGTTCATTGTTTGTTTTGACTCCTTTAATCACTAATGCTTTTTTCTCCTTTCCTAACTGCGCTGCCCTTACACACTTATTTTCATAACAGAAAAATTAACAATTTGTGATTAAAGAGCTTTATGATAACATTAGAAGTGCTGTGTCAGGTTGGGAAATAGGCCACAGATCTGTTTTTCCACTGCATGAACTCCAGAATCTGTCTGCTGCTCATAAAGCAGAAGTACCAATAGCCATAATCTTAGTGTGTATTTATCATTATCTCTGCACCTATTCCTTTTTATTCCCTTTCTTTACGTGTGTTAAAAAATATTTTGGTAAAAGTCCTGAATCAACTTATTTATTCAAGTAGAACTGAAAAAGTTCAGGCTCTGAAATGTGATACAGACTGTAAAAAGCAGGTCAAAATGTTATGACAAAAAAACAAACAAACAAATGTTATTGGAATCTAAATTCTAACTTTAATGAATTTTCTAAGATTGAATTGATTATGTAGGACACAGTGAAGAAAAAAAAAAAAAGAACTATTGTTGTGTATATTTTGGCTGATGACTTTGCCTCCACATCTAAACAGAAAAATCAGTACAGTCGGGTGTTTTTTAAAAAAGTGGGGCGCAGCAGGTGGGGGACAGTAAGATCAGTTGTTGTTGTTGTTATGTGTTTTTATAAGCAAATAACTGAGGTATTGTACAACAATTCACAGTTCCTAGAGTGAAGACTGTCATGCAAAACTATCATGTTTAGTAAATATCCTCAGTCCAGATTTATCCAGAGAATCAAACTATTTTTAGTGTACTGAAAGGAGCTTGATATACCGTGCAATTATGCTAATTTTGAAAGTTGCTGTTTGTGAGGCTGTTCACATGGATTGGGTTTCTGTTTTGTCCCACCCATTATTCCAGTGAAATTGGGCTAAATAACAAAAACACTCATAAAATACAGTTTAACATCTTCCAAAATTAAGCTTAATTCTATCATGAGTGGGTGTGTGGCAGACGAGATGTGGATCCAAGTGCAAGACTCGAGAAACGGGAACTGACTCAGAAAAGAAGCTTTAAAGCTAAAATCAAAGAATTAAAAAAACAAACAAACAAAAGACCTAGCAGGGCTGGAGCAAGGGATCATAATACAAGGAATCATCAGGGAACCCATGAACTAACAGACACACAACCACAAGGGGCGATGCGACAAGGGGCAAGCGGAGAATCGGACAATAATTACAAAAGATAATGAGCCTAGGGAAAAACACACTGAGAACAAATCAGGGATACAAAAAAAAAAAGGGAAACGACTCTCAGTACACAAGACAAAAGACTTTCAAAGTAAAACAACAAGTAATTAAGAAGTTAAAACCTAACACAGACGGAGATTTAACCTACAAACCTGATATAATGGCATATCAAGGAAAACTCAGAAGTTAGGGTTTACTTTGCTAGTCTCGTAGTGGGTTACTATGAGCAAAACAGACAACAAGAACTAAGGCTACCATGATACCAAGTGAGTAGAGACAAAGTATAAACAATAAACTTAAGAACCATACATTAGTTATTTACTTTTTTTTCATTTCTGGAAAATTGTGTACATGGTTCATTAATACTGGACTGTAGATTGGAGGAAGGTGCTGTGAACAGATGAGTCCAAATTTAAACTCTTTGGTCAGCATTGTCATGTTTATGTCCGCAGCAAACCTAGAGACTGTTTTGATTATAGATGTCCTGCACCCACAGTGAAACACAGTGGAGATTCAAATGTGGAATTATTTTTTAAAAATTATTATTAGACCTTTATTTATCCAGGTAAAAATCTCACTAACATTCAAATTTCATTTCAAAGAGACTTTAAGACCTGGAAATGGAGTTCCAGTTCTGTAAACTCCATGGGCAAATGAATGAAAATTGATGGTATCACGAACAAGATGGTCTACCACAATATCTTAGTGCTTCATCAGCCCTTCTACACTGAAATTGATTGGTCATGGGTTTATACCATGAAGACAATTACCCCAAGTATGGTTCAAAGCTTTGCAGAGCTTTGAAACTAACAAAATTTTTATGGAATAATAAACCATCACAGATAAGTCCATCAATCCAGATCAAAACTTCTAGACACAAATATGCTTAAACACCTTCAAAACGACTAAAGCCCCAACTTACAACTTGTCCAATACGAAATTCTCCATAGAACCACACTAGAAAGGACAAAGGATGTTCCAACATCTTCCTATACTCTTGTCTCACACCCTCTAGCTGGAGCAGTAATACTATGATTATGTGATGGTTCAGGGGTTGATCTGGCTGCATCCCAGTTTGCTGCTGGTTCAGGGGAGCTGTCTGCTTGTGTGCTCACAATTATTAAAATAGGTTTCACTGCAAAGAATAAAATCAGAGACACACTGTACCAATGAACAATCAAATGCAACAAACTTGATGCTCCAGATGTTTTATTAGACAGAATGCTACTATCAGGCTTAAAACCAATGTTTTACTTCTTCAAGGATATTTTTTGGAGTTCCAGAAGCCAGTCAACAACATCACGCTCTTTCAGGGGCAGACAGCCACCCTTCATTGCAAAGTGGCAGGAAATCCTCGACCGTCTATCCGCTGGCTGAAGAATGATGCCCCTGTAGTACAGGAACAGGGACGCCTAACCATCCGCAAGACAGAGGGAGGCTCAAAGCTCCGCATCCAGGACCTGGACACAACAGATACGGGCTATTATCAGTGTGTTGCATCTAACTCAGTCAAAGTCATTTCTGCCACAGGTGTTCTTTATGTCAAACTAGGTAAGACTGAAGTTTATTTGTACTATAACTTTTAATTTTAAGGCTTAACTGTATGGGTTAAATAATTAATATTAAGTGTTTATTTATACAACTTCTGTTTACACAAGTCTCAGTGAGGTCAGTGGCTTGTGCAGGAAGCTTTTACTAATCATAAAAACGGCAATGTTTCTGACTGTAGAGCCAGTCACTCCTTATTTTCATGTACTTGTTTTCTTTCTGATTTACAGGACAGATGCCCACACAAGGCCCAACTGAACCGTAAGTGGCCATCTTCTTGTTAATAGTGTGTTACGTGTGTTTATCTGTTTGTGTTTATATGTTTGTAAATATTTTTAATCAAGGATTTTTATTTTTTTTAACAGTTTTTGCTTGTTTTATTTTTTGTTTTGTTTTGGGGTTTGGGGTTGTTGTTGTTGGGGTTTTTTGGGTTTTTTTTAGTTTTTTTTTTTTTTTTTTTTTTAGAAATTAGCGAATTTTAAGTGTCAACCTATAGCACACAGATTGTGGCTATAAGATGTTAGTGCCTTTATGTGTTTGTACAGTCGCTGATGGACATTAGCAACTGTGGCCAGATGGTATCAGTTTATTTGTCCTTCAGGAACTCCCTGCATACTTTTGTAAAATTTAATGGAAATTGAAATTAGTTTCAGCAGTCTCCCTCAAGCAATGCTAAGATTGTTAGTGCTTGTATTAAGACCAAGATTGTTGTCTCTTACTGATAAATTCCTAAACTGCAGTGAAAAAATGCACAAGAAAAATTGACAGTACTGACCAAGCCAATAACAGTAGCCACATGCGGCATTGACTGGACATGTAGTTACATTGTTTTGATGGGTTTGCGGGTTTGTGGGCTTGCAGTTATGACATAGCTACATTGCAGATTTCCCCTTGAAGCATAGATCCCCAGTAATGTCTGATTTAGACTTCTGCAGCTGTAAGTGGACGCCGTTGTTGCTGGCATCTGTGCTTGCACTAGTTTAAAAACCTCACCTTTGCTCCTCCAGAGATGGCTTTTGTCATTGCAGCCAAATAGCTCAATGTTGGTCTCATCTGATCATGAAACCTTTCTCCAGAAGGCATTTGGCTTCTTCTGGGTAGATTCAAATTTCAGTTAAGGTTAAAGGTGTCCATTTTGGAGCAGGGACTTCTTTCATGGTCAGTACACTCTCACTCCATGGTGATGTAAAACTCACTTCACTGTGGAGAGTGACAGTAGTATTCCAGCAATTTTCAGTTCATGTTAGGTGTGAGCCTTGCTTGTAAACATCCCTACCAATTTCCTCTATCCTGAGTGTGACCGTTTGGATCTTGTTTCAGACCTTGGCAATGTGGTGACACATCTGAATAACTTGGGCACAATTGTTTGAACTGCTGGTCTCAGAATCTGCAGTGGTTTAAACTTGTGTGAAACTTCCAACTTGTATAAATCTACAATTCTCCTTCTTAGATCATCACTGAGTTCCTTGGACTTTGTGAGTAGTGGTCAATCCAATGAGTGCTTTCAAACTGCTGGCAAAAAGAAACTAGTAGTTAATAATTGTCATTAACAAGATGTTAACAAGATGTTAGTACACCTTGGTCTTGATGAGTTAAAAGAACCTGTACAACCTCTAGCACCACTTAATAAAATATATAAAATGTATGCATATATTTGAGTATATATGCATACTTACAATATTAGAGAAAAGTTGATTAAAAATGGATGCCGTACAAGCATCACACCCTAAAAGAACATTTCAAAGAATTCAAAGCCCAAAATTAGCATGAGATGAGTGTAGTGTATATAAATCTTTTGCCCCAAGTGCATTTACCTTAAATACAGCTTTCTCTGTCTACTTTGTCAACTGTGTTGCATTAAACTTATGTGTCATAAATCTTTGTAATGTTAGGTGACCTGAAATTACTGTTTCGGAAAGTCTTATATAAGGAGGTTGAATAGCCCAAAGTATGAACGGTAAATTAATAGTGGTGGAAGCCACTGACCTCTTTTGCTGCTCCTTTCTGTTTTTCACTAGTTTCTGCATTTGGCTAGGGCTAGTGTCACTGCTGCTATCATCAGCATCTTTGGACCCTAAAGATGTTTTACAGGTAGCCCATCTTCTTCATGATGGCAGAACAAACAGGATGAGCACTGCCAGAACCCTTCAAATTGACATCCACTAGGCACTGGTGTGAAAGTCTCTGGCTAAACAATAACATACAGACTTCATCGGGCTAGCCTAAGGGACCGACATCATCTAGTCGGCTCTGTGCTCATTAACTAGCACTGAAATGGTTTTCCAACAGTCTTGAAGAAGTTCCCAGAGATGCTGAGCACTTGTTGGCCCTTTCGCCTTCACTCTGCGGTCAATTTCATCCCAAACCATCTTGATTGGGTTTAGGCCAGGTGTCTGTGGAGGCCAGCCCATCTGGCACAGCACTCCAACACTCTCTTTCTTGGTCAAATAGCCCTTACACAGGCTGGAAGTGTGTCTGGGGTCATTGTCCTGTTGAAAAATAAATGATTGTTCAACTAAGCACAAACCAGATGAGATGGCGTGTTGCTGCAGGATGCTGTGGTAGCCATGCTGGCTCAGTGTGCCATCAATTTTGAATAAATCCTCAACAGTGTCACTCGCAAAGCACCTCCTCCTCCATGCTTCACGGTGCAAACCATGCACGAGAGGCCATCCGTTCACCTTTTCAGTCGCACAAAGATACAGCGGGTGGAACCAAAGATCTCAAATTTGGACTCATCAGACCAAAACACAGATTTCAAAGATTTCCACTGGTCTAATTTCTAATCTCACATCTGTGAGGTGAGAACATTTCATCGAATACATCATCAAAAAAACAAAGGGGGACTACTTTGAGGAATCTAAAATATAAGACACATTTAGAATTATTAATCAATTTTTTTCTTTGCTACATAATTCCATTGATCATGCTTCATATATTTGATGTCTTCAGTAAGTATCTACAATGTAGAAAGTAGTGAAAATAAAGAAAAAACATTAAACGAGAAGGTTTGTCCAAACATTTTCCTGGTTAATTACAGGAATCTAAATTATACTGAATTTCTGGGTAACGTTTAAGAGTTTACAAAAACTGTATAATATATCAGCTGACATTCATGCTTGATATGGATTATTTAAATATGCTTATTACAGAAGACCAGTATGCATGTGTAATGTGCAGCTTACATTGCAACAGACTACGTATATTTTTGAAGCAACAGGTTACATCTACAAACAGCAAAGATGTGCAGAGCGTATAAAGGCCAGACATCATATTACATCACATTTTCTCCTGAAGTCATTTAAAGAATTTAAACCTGTTTTTTGTTTTGGTTTTTTCCTCTTTAGGTCACGTGAAAAACATTTTTGCCAGCCATATCGTGGCATTGCCTGTGCTCGATTCATCGGTAACCGCAGTATCTATGTCGAGTCTCTGCAGAAGCAAGGGGAGAATGAAAACCGCATTACAGGTGAGGAAATTAGGCATCCTTCATGGTTGATATATTCCTTAATTCTAAACTTTAATAATATCTGAAATTTCCAAGCAAACAGTTAAAACTTTTTCCACTTTTTTTTAAGCTGCCCTCACTATGATTGGAACATCCACCCACCTGTCTGATCAGTGCTCTGAGTTCGCCATCCCATCCTTCTGCTACTATGTCTTCCCTCTGTGTGATGAGCAATCTCGGGGCCCTCAGCGCCGTCAACTCTGTAGAGATGAGTGCGAGGCTCTGGAGAATGACCTTTGTCTTGCTGAGTACACCATTGCCAGATCGAATCCTATGTTACTCATGCAGCTTGAGCTCCCAAGCTGTCACTTGCTGCCACAGCCAGGAACACCTGCTGCAGCTTCCTGTATGAGGATAGGAGTACCACCAGAAAAATTGGGTTCATGTAGGTGGATGAATGCACACACAAAAATGTGTAAAAATACCCCAGTTATGAAACAAATGTGCAAGCATACACCCCATTACTGCGTACTATATTCAGTCAGGGTCATAAATATGTTCTTCTGTACACCACCATTTTGCTTCATAGTCTCATATTTTCAAACTAATTGGACATTTACCTGATAAGTTTCAAGGACTATTACATGATAAAATAAGCAGATAAAAGATCTAGAGATGATTTCATATGGATGCATTTCATAGCTGTTAACCAGCCAACCAGCCAATCCCATATTGGTTGTTTGATTTGAAATCCAATCTGGTAGTGTAGAGAGGAAAAATTACAAAACATTATGTGTTGTCCAACAAACTTACTTACCTAACTGTATTAAGCAGGGAGGTTCACTGTAAAACTGACCAAAGCTGTATCGTAGACATAACTTCCAGCCCTGCATTTGTAATTCTAGGTACCATTTTAATTGTTTATATATTTTTATATTCTGATTGGTTATTGTGGTTATCTCTTTAATGCACAAGAGGTCTACAGTGGCATACACAGTTTAATTTTAAACCACCAAATTTCCCTAAATAAAAGTGCATTTTTTGTCTAAACCACTGATGGGAGACTGATGCATTTCATAAATATAGCGGTTCACATTTACCTTAGAAATTATGTTGCACCTATTTTAATTTTATTTCACAAATTAATACAATTTTTGCGTTTTAAAAATTTTTTGTCAATAAATAACCTGCAAGGGTAAACATAGAACTGGGAGCAGAGGATCATATATTTTTCTTTCAATTATAATTAATACATCATTTAGCACTCATTAAATTCTCAAAATTTCAGACACCTGAAATTCATTGTCTGTCTGTCATTGTCCGTTCTACAGATTCCCCCTCAGATCACAGCTGCTATAATGGAAGTGGAGTTGACTACAAGGGCACAATCAGCATCACTAAATCTGGTCACTACTGCCAGCCATGGAGCGCTCAGTACCCGCACAGTCACCAGCTGTCTCAGGAGTATCCTGAGCTCTGGGGAAGTCACAACTTCTGTCGTAATCCAGGAGGCCTAATGCAGGCACCCTGGTGCTTCACCCTGGACCCTCTGGTCAGGGTGGACCTGTGTGAAATCCAGCCCTGCAGTAAGTATCATAAGGGAATTTCCTCCTAAGTTATCAGCTGTTTAAGGAAATCCCAAAATATATAGTGTCTTGGTTTGGTTTTATGCCACCCCTTGTTTCCAGAAGTGCTGCAATACACCTAGGCATTAACTTTTCAAGCATAGTTTTGAAAGTACCTATACTGATGGGGTGGAACATCATTGTTTCATAGGTTATTCCCTCATTAGTGTTTTGATCCTGGTTGTGGAAAGTGCTCTCTTGATACCTTGGTGTTTAAAGTTGACTATGAAGACTATGGCATGTGAATCACATCATTTTCATTTTCTTAAGACAATTCAGTGAGCTTTCTTGCTCTGTGAATGAGGCCATTATCATCCATCAAGAGGCTACAACCATCAGGTGATCACTTAGAACAACTCTGTGTTGATTTACAATGACCCTTCCCTCTAAGTGACAAGGTGGACCTACCGGATTTCCTCATGGGAGGGCTCAAGGTTTTCCTGACCTGTCTGTATATTATCCATTTAAATTTAATTTATTTTCTTTAGAGTGCCTCAAGGTGATTTTATATTGCAAGGTAAGGGTCCTGCAATGTTAAAGAGTAAAACCCAACAAGCAGATGTTCTCCTATGAACAAGCACTTTTCAACAGTGGGAATAAATTAACCTCCTGTCAAAAGGATGATGGATCTGAGAACCTGGCATCTATTGTGAGAGGCTGTTTTTTTTAACCAGTTTTTGTCTGAGTGTATGGCTGGGTCTGAAGTACACTGGGACACTCAGACAAAAACTGGTTCATCCCAAGGACAAAACTCCTAAACACAAATTAAACTACATAGTACATGCTGTTCAGTGCTACATTGGCGAGACCAAACAGCCACTTCATAAATGCATGGCACAACATAGACAAGAGCCACCTCAACAGGGCAAGACTCAGCTGTACATCTGCATCTAAAGGACAAACGTCGCTCTTTGAGGATGCCAATGTCCACATTTTGGACAGAGAAGACAGATGGTTTGAAAGAGGAGTGGAGCCATGTATGTCCATTGTGAACGGCCATCTTTGATCAGAGGGCGGGGTTTACAGCACGACTGTCTGCCATCTATACTCCAGTTATGAGATCCCTTCCCAGCCTTAATGCCCACTCACATCCAGGGCCACGTGATCTCACTAAATCACAAGATAAGATGGTGCTAGGTCTCACAATGTGTTCACCTGAAACCTTGGCTGCCTAATCAACCTTTTCAAATAAAACTTCTTAATCTTTCAGTCAACCCAGAGCTCATAGAGGTGCCTTAGGTGCCTCAGCCTTAGAGGTGCTAATTCTTATTCCTGCCACTTTGCACTTGACTGCAAACTGCCCCAGTGTGAGATTGAAGCCACTACCTGACAGAGCCAACAGAATCACATTATGCACAAAAGGCAGAAACAAGAATCAGTTCAATTACATTTTATTTATGTAGTGCCAAATCACAAAAACAGTCACCCAAAGGTGATTTATATTGTAAGGTAAAGACACTACAATAAGAGAGAGAAAACCCCAATAGAGATTAAAGAGGGCAGGGAGCTAGAGATTAATAATAGCTAATGATTAAATACAGAGTGGTGTGTAAACAAACAGTGAATGAAGAAGTTGAGTGAGTAAGAAAAACTCAGTGGATCATAACTAATGGGGGATTCAAAGTCACCTGAACCAGCCCTAACTACATGCTTTATAAAAAGGTAGGTTTTTAGGACAGCCCGATGATATTAATTTACAATACTCCGGCTGAGAGGCAATAAATGTATGAACTAGTTTTTCAGGATCATTCTGAGAAAGGATGTTTCTAATTTAGAGATATTACACAAATGCACGAAAGCAGTCCTACATATTTGTTTAATATGGATTGAAGAACCTATGACTGTGAAGATTCTTCACAGTATGGTGTCGAACCAGAGTAAATATCTGGTTCGACACCATGTTTCTAAGATGTTTAGGGCTGAGTACAGCAACGTTACTTTTATCTGAATATATAAGCAGTAAATTATCAACATCATCATTGTCATCAACATCTTTATGCTTTTAAGATATTTGTACAGTTTAACTAATTGTTGTATGTCATCTTGTTTCATTGACATTTGGAGCTGTCAATGAAGCAATCTTGTACAAAGCAGTCAAAATGTATACTAGACCTTTGAATGATATGCCTAAAAAAATGATGTATAATGTAAACAGAACTGGTCTTAGCACAGAACCCTGTGGTACTCATAATTAAACTTTGTGTGTGAAGAGGACTCCCCATTTACATTAATAAATTGGGAGTCCATTAGGTAGATGTGATCCTTGGCTCATTAAAAGTAATGGGGCTCAAGTTCTGTGTAGTTGAGCAGGCATCAAATGGGTCACTGAGTCACATAATCCCTCACAGGTCCCAAGAAGGACACAGTCAAATGCCTTCCGCAAGTCCACAAAGCACATGTACACTGGTTGAGCAAAGTCCCATGCACCCTATTATAGAGTGGCTAAAGAACTAGTCTAGGGCTCCTCGGCCGAGGGGAAAACTGAACTGTTCCTCCTGAAATTGAAAGATGATTTCCCCCTATTATACCTTTGTGTATACCTTATCAGGGTGGCCGAATAGCACAATCTCTCTATGACTTGAGCACAGCCTCCTCCTTTTTAAAGATGGTAACCAACAATCCAGATGTCCCGCCCAGGGCTTTAACGAACTTACTTAAGAAAATCTCATACACCCCTTTGGGCCCATGCCACCAGGGAGTTTTTTTTGTTTGTTTTTTAACCTCCCTTATTGACCTTCCCTCCAGTGATGAGCAAGGCATCCCCTTGTCCTCAAACTTTCCTCTAGAGAAGTTTTGAATGTGGGGTTAAAGAGATGAGTATTCCTTCCACCACTTGGCTATATCCTCAGTTTGTCTGTGGAAAATCCATATTCCATATTCCCATCCCCTCCTAAGTCACCCCTACTAAGACGGTTTACCAGAATTGTTTAGAGGCCGACAAAATGTTTGTTTCTGCTAGTCCCACAGGAGTCCCACAGGCTAGCCAAGCCTGATAGGATGACGTCTTCTCCTTAATGGCTCTTTTCATCTTCTGTGTCCACCATCTCGTTCGGGGATTATCACGTTCTAAATCTTTTAATCTAGAAGCAGCCAGTTGTCATTCACAGGAAGGCAAGCAGCTAAGCAAACAAATCCAGCAAGGGCAGGCAAAAGCAAAATCCCCCAAAAATATTTACAGGAATTAGCCCACTGACATGGGCAATGTTGTGAAATGGAAGGTGCTGTGGTATCATTAGTTTTTTTTTGTAAACAAAACAAAAAACATGGGTTTTGATATTGCATCATTTGAGATTTTTTCCATGAATCTCATTTTGACAGGTACACTTTTCAGATATTTCAGAAATACTTAAATACTTTTTTAATGTTTATTCACACAATATTTGAAATATTACAATTATTCTACAAAACAGATATTTTCTCAGATTATGTTTAAAGCTATAACAAAAGAACGTATGATTAAGAAAAATAATACAAAACCTTGATCGTCACGACTACAAATCTGCAGCATTTTTTCTGCAATGTAGACCCCATCAAGAAAACCCAGTTTTAAAGCCGAAGATTTCAAAGGCATGTTCTTAACCATCCACAATGCTTTCCTATTAATCTGTTATACAATATTGCATACCTTTTATTATAATTTTCTTTTAAAAAAATCATCCTATTGAGCAGCACACATCATTCTTAAGAAAAGGGAAAAGCAGTTTTCATAGTCAATTGAGTAAACTTAATTTTCAAAAATGAAAAAAAATAAAAATAACATGTGCTTTTGATGCTGCCAGTTGGTCACTAGGTGAAACAAATAAGCACAACTTCTGGCTGCACAGCTCCATTCACTGTGAATTCAGGCTCCGCTACAATAGTTCATCTAGATCAGGGATGTCAACTATAAGGACCGGGGGCCGGCATAGACTCTAATCTGGCCCTCTGAACAATTTATATTTTTGGACAGCTTTTCCTCCTGACAAAGACCTCACCCACAGCCAGCCACTATACACCAAAGTAGTGAAGTAATAGATAAACAATTAAATGACAGAAAAGCTCCTGTTTTTCACTGTCTACTATAGAAATTTTGGTTTTATAAATATGGGACAGTCTGGGCAGTGAACTACCAGAACTCGTTCTGTAATTTTACACATTTATCATATCAAGAAACTCAGTTGTACTTCTTTAGCCTATATTAAGAAATCTCAGGGATTAAATGTGTAGTTAAGCATCTTTATGCTGACAGAAAGTGGAGTTTCACCCATCTGGCCCACTTCAAGGTTCAAGGTTCTTTATTTGTCACATGCATAGTTATACAAGTATAACACACAGTGAAATGTAGCCACACACAGTGAAATGTAGCCATACAACGCCACACATCTAAGGTTGATAAGTTTATATTTTTATTCATTTAGAAATCCAGAAATACTGTTCATAAAGAGACTAGCAAAAAAAAAGCATTAAAGAACTGATTTGGGTAGGTACTTCCATCTATGGTTATTGGTAAAATTATTGTTCACTGTTTTGAAAATTGGTGAACAAATGCTGATAAGTAACTTTTTGCAATTGTGGAACAAGTACGTCACTAAATCCCATGCTTAATTAAAAGCAATAATGCTACAGTATATGTTGTACATTTTGTAAATAAAAGTACAAAGGTTTTGCATTACAATATACTTTAAATTCTATATAAGAATCTGCACAACTGAGAACTAATTCACTGTAGCCAAATTACACCATCATTTATTAGCTCATTTGTATTTTATGCTAATCTAATTCTGATAAATGGAGTTCACAGTGAAATATTTGCCTTTCTATAGTATATCTTTTCATGAATAAATAAAAAATTTATAAGAAAGATTTGCTCTGTGATTCACATCAGTAACTTGTTTTCTCGATTAAAGTAAAGTTTGCCAGTCTGCATATAGCTGTTGTTTCTATTGTACTGATTTATCACTGACTTCACTTTGATGGTATTTGCAGTTACATGTGTCCGCTGCAGGCTGAGCAAAAACGTTTTGTTGGCAGGTTTAAATGTCTCTATTATTATCATTTCTAAGTACCTGGGTAGTTTTCCTTTTTTTAAACTAGAATTTAATTTTCTGCTGACCCTTGAAATGTTGGAAAAATACATTAGAAATTATTTTCAGAACAGACTATTTAGCTAAGAACAGCTTCTAACTTTACTTGCTTCCACTCTAAAAGAAAGATTTTTGATCTAATCAAACAAAAGAGTGTCTGTTTCACACATTCACTGAGGGACAGAGATGCAATAAACTGTTCCTGCAGCACCTTTTGTTCACACAGGTCATTTTTAACACAATTTGACATTCACACACAATCGACTGGTAACACTAAACTACGCTGCACACATGGTGACAAAAGATCATTATATATAACTGCCCTATTAGCTATCATGTGCCTGGAGAGATTTGGACATGAGATTTACCACCATCACGTAGCTTTTCACATTACTCTGGCAAAATGCCAATACCCACAAAGACTAACCCCAGTTTTGGGGAAACACACATTTGTTACTTACCCTTTCAATACATGAGTACAGTCTTAAAGACTTCTTAGTGATAGTTGTCAGTATTTCCCGTGCTGCACAGCAAACAATAACTTTTGATATCTAATTCGGCACACTTTATTTTCCAAATTGTAAACAAATGCGGTGTAAAACAGCGCTGATGTTGCTGTCATGGTGAAGTGTCCATCATAACCAATCATATTAGGACACTCCTCCTTCCTTTGGGCTCCACCTCCAGACATTTAAAAGTCAGTTGCAGCTACCTGCAGCAGCATGCGTAAAGCAGACACTTCCACGTGTGTTCAGAGTTCCGCGCACCAGAAATTTAACTGCGCGAGAGGCAGTGAATATAAAATTATTTTCATTTTGTACATAATTTGACCTTGTTTCTGTTATTATTTCAGAGCCACAAGAAAACCCCAGGAAGGAGATCCTGTTTATTTTAATACCTGCAGTTGCCATCCCATTGGTTATCGCTTGCCTCTTCTTTCTGGTTTGCTTGTGTCGCAATAAACATAAGGCTTCAAATGACACACCACCTCGTTCCCAGCTCAGCAGCTCACCCTCCCAGGACACGGAGCTGTCGCCCCTGAATCATCAAAAACAACAGGTAGCAATAATAATAACAAGGTAACATTAAATA